AAAATATTTTCTACTCACCAACCAAACATGAGAAAATAAGTCAAAAATCTACTTATTTTGCACGAAAATATTTTCTAGGAAAATATTTTCCTTCCTAACAAACACACCCTAAGTGTAGATTACCGCTTTTATGTCAAACTATTTTATTGTCACGACCCAGACCATCGTGATTGGCACCCACACTAACTTTCCGGTGGGAGAACCACTACTACAACCCAACCAAGTAAATAATCTAAAAACTAAGGCATTTAAATCAAACAGTAAGGAAATAAATAGGGAGTTCCCATAAACTCCAACAAAAGTCTAACAACGAACTAAATAATGCGGAAGAAATAACCTAGAACCTGAAAGTCAATGTACCAAAACATCTAACAATGAACCAAGTCTAAACAAAAGGGATACAACCCCATCCTAATGAACTAACTAAAACAAATGTCTAAGTCCGGAAATGGTGGACATAGACGAAAGAGAATTTCATGGCAGCCCAGAAGAATTGGCTCACCCTTGAATTCGAACGATCACTGATCTTCTAAGCGAGGTTTGTCAGTAGCCGCTTGAAGATGCACTGTACTCAGCAAAAATAAGAGCAAGTGCAAAATTAGTACACAATCACAGTGTACTGGTAGGATCACGCGGCTATCCCACTAGTGCAACATAAACAAGTCAAACAACATTTTAATCACATCCATACATATCAACATATACAATATCATCAACATTTATGAACAACGAACAACTTCACATTTTATGTCAAACCATTGGTCCTCTCATGGAACCCAAACAGTTAGCATGCCGAAACGTGGCAACCGATCTCATATTTATGCCGAAACAAATTAAATAAATATTAGTATTAGTTAAAATTAAAGATAAAAAAATTAATTTATCTCAAAAAAAAAATAGTTTTTTTATAAAATAAAATGTAAAATATTTTTCTTACCTTTCTTTTCTCGTTTTGTGTTAGATATATACATATCGAAAATATTTTTTTACTTGTCGCCGCAAGACTTTTTTTAAAATAAATTTTTTATTTATGTTATATACGGTACACAAGTAGAAATTTTTTTCTAAAAATATATGTACATATCTAACACAAAACGAGAAAAATGTAAAAAAAAAAACACAAAATTAGGAGCGGAGGGTTAAATAGGATGGGTAGAATTTTTATTTTAAAAAAAAATAAAATAATATCTTTTTTTTTTTGGGAGAATGAGTGGGTGGTTTGGGGTGGGGGAGAGGGTGAAGTATGAATTTTTAAAAAATATTTTATACAAGATTTTTTTTTTTAAAAAAGGACGGGGAATTGTCCGGCGGGAGGGGGTATGGAGAGGAGGTGGTGGAGTGGGGTAAGAAAAATAATTTAAATTTTTTTAAAAAAAAATATTATTTTTGGGATAGTAATACTTTAATCTTTAATTAATATTAATAGTTTATTATTTAATTTTTGTCAAAGAGGAATATTTTATCCATGTGAAATGTCATGTGTCAAGGTTTTTCAAATAAAAGAGAGAGTGCATCACACACACCACTGAAGTGTATTTCTCAAACTAATAAGTGATAGTTTAGGTATGAAACTCACCCTCACTCTCAATAGTTTAGGTATGAAACTCAAAAAAAAAGGGATAGTTTAGATGTGTTTTTGACATTTATCTCTAATTGCAAAGGAAACGAGGTAAGTTAAAAGATATCAAATTTGAAGGGAGATTTTTGTAAGTATTGCTTTATTTTTCTCTCTTTTTTTCTAGCTATAATGACTCTGTAGATAAACTCTCTGACTTAACGGGGTTTTTTTTATAAAAGAAAATATATTTCATCTGGTCCAATTTGTGGAACAATTCAGATTTTGAAAGTCAAAAAGTTTAATTTTGACCGTACATTTAAACTTGAAATTTTAAAAAATAAAATATACATATTCCAACACTATATAAAAAGTACGTCACAATATTTAATAATTCAAGATATTTAAAACATATAGGAAAGAGTTTACGAACAAATAAATACTAATTTGAATTTTCGAAATTAAAGAAGTGCAACACAAAATGAGGTGAAGAAAAATAAGTAATGTTTGGTAAGGAATTTATTATAATTGAATGACCATTTAAATAATTATGTTTGGTAAGGAATTTATTATTATTGAATGGCCATTTAAATAATTTACTTGTAATAACGACCATAAAGGAGGTAAAGATTTATGTAATTATTGCTTTAGTTTTTTTTTTTTTTTTGCAGTTTTTTTTATAGCTATAATGACTCTTAGATAAACTAGTACTAACGTACAATGACTTGAGGGTTTTATTGATACAAGATAGTAACACATTCGTCAGGGAGAATGCTTTGTCGGTGGGACTTTTTTACATGAATTCGTATTTAATTAAACTAGTCCAATATGGATATTATCACCGGATGAAAAATAAAATTAATTTACTTGGAATAAGGACCACGGTAAAGAAGAATATTTATGTTTATGTTTAAAACATGGCAAGGAATTTGAGAGTCAATATACACAAATCAAACATGATGAGGACGAAGTGTTTATTTTTGTTATGTCTGTGTTTGGTTCCCTTTGTGATGTTTTCATCAGCTTTCACTTCCCAAAATCCCATTGACCTACCCAGTGCTCCGGTACTAGACACGAACGGTAAAGAAGTTGACCCTCGTTTGAGTTATCGTATGGTTTACACTAATCGAGGTCCCTATGGTGGTGATATATACTTAGATTACTCCCCAGGTTCAATCATGCCCGGCCTTGTCCAGACGGCGTGTTCCGTTACGGTCAGGTTGGACCTAAGGGTATAGGCCTAGGGGTGGCAGAATGGGTAATTAATATGAGTATTCGCTCATATTTACTCATTTTAAA